AATTTTGGCAAATGAGTCTAATTTAATAGTGTTGGTTTCATTAAAACAGCTCTATCTTCTGAGTTAGCAGCATTAAGTATAATACAAACACACATTTTTATTCCACTTGGGCATGTTCTTCCCCAATGTACAAAGATACGCTGATTTAATAAGCTATCATATCAGTTACTACGTCTTTAAGATTATTAAAAAATATATAAATTTGTATTTAGTCAAATTAAATCATTATTCTGACAAACTTTATTTCAAAAGTAATTATGTTTTGTAGTAGGGTGGCTGGAAGATAGTTCCCGAAATCTTTTGGCAACTTACAACCTTGGACTGATGTTAAATTGAGTTAATTAATGAATATTCATTAGATATCTAGATCCTAGCTAAGTCAGATAGCATCCTGAAGCATTAATTACTAAATATACTTTCATTTTTACATACTTTTTGCCTTAGTTTTATATAATACAGAGAGGCTATATATTTGGTCTGTTAATAAACATGTTCATTTTTGCCACACTGAGAAGCTGTAATGAAAGGAATGTTCATGGCTATAAAAAGTTATGAGATGTATATTTATAAGCTCTGCTTGTCTGCTAGAAACTATTGGTGTATGAAAGATAGTTTACAATTACCTAATGCAGAGACTCCCGCCTTGGCCAAACTTTAGTCAGGCTCCTGAAGCCCTCTGTAGGATAAGTCACGGCCGTGGTCTGCTGCATTCAGTTTATTGGGAATCCCCCCATTTCTGATACCTGATCATCCCTGATATCTGATCAGATTGTTCATCCTCTGCCCTGGATGTCTAAGTCCTAGGCCTCTTTTTAGGAAGAATCCTGTTACGCAGGGTTAGCAAGAATCCCCCTGCTCTTGACATCTAATCAAGTTCCACTTAGTAATTTTTCACCCACTGACTTCCTCACTCTGCTACTTGGCTATAAATCTCCAGCTGTCTTGGCTGTTTTGGGAGCTGAGCCCAGTTTTACACTGAAGTTCCTCTCCCCTACTGCGGTAGCTCTGTTAAGATCTGTCTTGCCATTTAAACACAAACGATGAATAACTTTTCTTTCACATGACCTCCTAGTTTTCTCTATGCAACCAAGGTCAACTGTTGTTAAAAATGATAATCAATATATGTGAATGAGACACTAAGAGGAGTGATAGTGGCAGAGAGGAAAAACTTTGCATGCAAAGTATGCAGGAGACATTTTGTTCAGGAAGAAGAGAGTAATTAAGTAGGTTTGTTCTAAATTAAGATGGTCTTTTCAGAACGAGAAGTAGAAAAGTATAGGTCAAAACCTGCCTGGATAGAGAAAGCTGCAGATGGTTCCTGAAGAGGGAATTTTATTCCTTGTAATTACAGTTGGCTAAGGTTTAATGAGTTTATTAACAAGAGTTTTACTAAGAGCATTAGTATCAAATAGACTGTTTCAAAACTGTGATTTGGTTTTCTCTATTAAAATGACAGATTTGTCTTGGATTATTGGTCTTCTCTTAATATGTGCTTGTGAAAGGGTTTTCTTTACCTTCTGAGTAATCTGCCTAGAAGACAACTACTCAAGGTCTTACCAGAATAACTCCTTGTGCTTTGTATTGACTTTATCATATCCTTGATTATTTAAGAGAATCAAGTCTCTTCACTTCAAAGAGCTGAAGGGCTCTGTGTCTACTCTTGAGACTTTTTTTGGTCATGCTGGTTAAATAGAATTGTTTCTCAGTAATCCACGATCTTATTTAATCAAATATTTAAACGTTTGGACTACTTTTTCTGTTTTCCCTTCCAAAAACTAAATCCTAGACGGTATCTTTTGCATTGTCAAGGAAGAAAAATGAAGTCTGGACTTGAGTAAGAAAAGACATTATTGCGAATACTGCAGTATAAGGATGCTGAAGGCCTAAACCAGAAGTTTCAGACAAGGGCTGGGCAAGCAAAGCTGTCATATGCAGAGACCCCGGGACAGGCGTCTACAGAGAGTGGAAGGGGATGCAATGCTAAAGGCTGGTGTGTGGGAGTGGCCTTGAAACTTATGAAGTGCTGAAAATACTGTACTAATAGAAAAGTGAGGGCAAGAAATTTGGTTTGTGGTTAGGCATGTGGGGTTGGGATTCTGGGTCTGCCATGCAACAAACCAGAGTTAAAGTACAGGAAGTTCACGTACAGGGCCTAGTGGTCCTCAGCTAAGTCGCCTAAAGCTGTGTTAAGCACAAAGCTTGATCAGCCTTGTCAGCCCCTCTTCTTGTTCAAGGCACATCAGAAAGACACCAGCCCTGAACACTAGAGGGACAGGGAGCATCTCAACAGGGGATGGCCAAGTGCAACAGTCCTCAGGGTCAGCTTAGCGATGGCCCAAGAGGACTAGCTGAGCCATCTGTCTAGTGTGCTGGCAAAGGTCAGTTGTTTCAGTGACCCTCAGATCAGATATCTTAAAAGTTGGATGCCTGAAATGAAAAAGAAAAATGTTACTATGAAGGGTGTTATTAAAGTAAAGAGCCAGAAGTTTAACTCTAAGGGTATCTAGTCCAGTGAATTTCAAGAGGCCTGTGGATGAAAATGTTTGATTATGCAGCGCTGCTCTTTGAGTTTTATTACCTCCTAACTATGTCGTGCAGAGTCTGGGTTACTTGTCTTATGAGGGCAGGCATGACTGAGCATTTTACCAGACTTCCTTAGTGACCCACAGCAGCTTGCCAGGGGAGAAACCGGGCCACGCAAGGTCGGCTGCAGTAATGAGTCCTTCTAGGTCTATGACAAGTTCAGGCTTGAGCTGGCAGTGACTCCTCAGATCCTGGGGACAAAGACCAGCTACAAGGCAACCTTAGAATCCTGATAAAGATCTTGCTTTATTTCTCAGGGACTCCAAGTCAGAGAGGAGGGAGAAAAATTAGAAAGCTTAGTTTGTAGCCAGATACTGAAGGAAAGTAGAAGAATGAAAACTTGGTAAGGGCTGACAATCTGTGCAAAGTAACAGATCCAAATCCAGATCCAGATCCAGACAAGACAGAGTTTGCATAACAATGAGTTACCTGCAATTTACAAAAAGGTGCAAAATAGCTCAAAGACAATGAATAGCTTCACAATCTGGTAACTCAGAAGGCTGTGCAGTTTCTCAATGAAACACGGAATTTCTCCTTACAGTCCCTCTTTCCCTTTTGATCAAAAACAATCTCAAAGCAAGATTATTCTTCATCACAACATAAGGCCACTCTCATTAGATGTGGCCTGGTTATTTACATAGATGCAGCAATAATGACAGTTTACCACACAGGTCTTGTCTTTGCTTTGCTGACAGTTTTCTAAAGCATCTCAGATTGGACTTTTCTAAGCCTCTTCCTCAAGAGGAGAGGAAGCCAAGCCAAGAATTCACCATTGGTTTTCACCTGCAGCACCCAGAGATTTGGTGGGCATTCCTCTCTTCTTGAGATCCCCACAATATCTTAAGATTCCTGATCCTTGCTCACCTATGAGGCTGGGAACCCTATAAAGCCAGCTGCCAGTCCAGCTTTCCCAAGAGGGACTTAGTAAGCATTGGCCCCACAGAGTCAACCTTAGTTCCTCAGAAGCGTCTGGTCATATCTGATTAAATGAGCATTATCCTCAAATACCACGTTACAGGCAAAGCTAGGCTGCATCACCAGTGTTTCCACTTGTGTCCAAATAACAACTGAATCTATGTAAATAACCATACTGCCATGAAAATAAGAATACTCAATAAGATTTTCCAAATTTTAGAAGGGTGAGTCAGGATATAATAAAGAAAGGTTTCATTTCTGTTTACAAGAGCACCATCTACTTAACAGTTGTGAGTGATAGGTAGCTTAAGAGAAAAGAGAAAGAGGTTCCTTGTTACCAGAAAATAGAACATTAAAGGATCAGCAATATTCCAAACAAAGTCCATATTCATCCAGTTCATCCAGCTCATTCAATCCTACATAATCAATTCTTGTTTCATCTGATCTTGGCATAGTGGTCTCATGAATGCATCTGGTACTTGACTAGATGTCTGGAACTCCTGCCGGGCCGCTGGCACGATCTGATAGTTCTTTAAGCAGTGCTGTCAGTAGCCTGTATCCAAGAGTACCTGGCATAGTCCTTTTCCACTAGGCTCTAAGATAGTCCTTTTTGTTAAAGATGGAACATTCTGCCCTATAGCTGATTCCAGGTGATTTCATGGAAGCATCAGGAGTAGAAAGCACAAAAACAAAACTATGGGTAGATGACTAAAGACTACAAATGGCCCTGGTTAACATATTTTTGATTGTTTTCAAAAGAGAAAAGTCTGACGAGTGTTCACTATACAAATAATTCAATTGCTAAGAAAATTTGGTTATTTGAGACAAAGTCAATTCAAAAAGTTTTAGGCAAAATATACATAAACATAATGATTAATTCTATTTTAAAAGAAGAGCGGATATTACATCTTATTTATGAAAATTGATAAACATAATTTCTAGAGTGAAAAATGTCAGATATAATAATCCTGAGACATAGTATACTGTGAACGTATTGTGCATATAGTTAGAATAAAGCAACAATATATCTAGATTATCAAGCAAAGATAGTCACTAAACCTCTATAAACTTGGGAAGAATGTACCCAATTAGAATAAAAATGAATTTTTGCAAGGCTGATAACTCAGAAGACATAGATGTAATTATTAAACCAACAACATCAAACTAGTCTCATTTGCCAAAGATTTACCTATATCAAGTTTGTCTGCATTTTAAAAATATTTGGGTAAGCTTCTATAAAAATACTCTTTCTCTCTCACATTAAACACACTAGAAATTTAATTTCCCTTAATTAATTTCCCTTAATTTCTGGGAATTTCAGGAACATTTAAAATTATATAAAATTATATAGGCTCATTTATCTCTTAGTCAGTCAAATCTTAGCAACCAAATGGTGTTCCTTTAAAGAATTTTAAAGTTTAATGTGGTAATGCCATTTGGAGGTAGAATAATATTACACATACATAATACACACACACACATATACACACACACAGACAGACACAAATAGAGAAAGATCTCTAATTTTTCATTTTAAAATTTTAGCCATGGTTCAAAGGCATAAACACACAGACACAAAATTCACTGGTTCTTTAAAAGACCTGACTCTCATCGTCGCCTCACTTACATTTTTATAAAAATTATATTCCTGGCAGATGGGGCAAATTGAAATAATTTGCTCAACATAAGAGCTGAAGCATCTTCACCAGTGTTTGGGAAAGAGACCCTTCAGATGTCCTTGCCCTGACGTGTGGTCTCATGGAGTCTGCGGACTGCATTTCGGGAAGGGGGCAGAGAAGAAACCAAAGGGCTATCCGGTGTCTCCGAAGTCCACATGAGTGGGGGAAAAATCCAGCCTATTTCCAGTTAGCTTTCCCACCCTCAGGTTGTTACCTTTGGTGTCCCTGAGCTCCTCCAGAACCCTAACAGTGGTGGGAGACAGGGAGTTGAGGGAGAGAGTCAGGGGCTTAAACCACACTCAAGAAAGCCAGAAGGAGAAGACAGATAAACAGAAGAAAATAGATAAAAAGAAAGAAAAAATAAGCCAAGTTTTTATCATGCTACAACAGACAAATGTTTAGAACCCTGGATTAGGAGTTAAGACTCACCACTGTGGATCTTGATTTCCTCTGCCAGGAAAGGACAAAGTCTGATAAGAGGGAAGTGACACTCGGATAAAGAAAGCAGTGTCCGACAGGTAGTCACAGTCCGTTGGAGCCATGGCATCATCACTGTCAAAGAAAAACAATACAATCTGGACATCAGTATGAAAGATTTTATTAAGGGGGATGTTGCAATAGGAGGAGGGGAGTGTTATAATGGAGAAGATGCTCAGAGACTAAGACATGAATGTCTCAGGGACAGAATGGGTGACCAAAGCTTTTAAATGTAGAGACCCCTGGGGTAGGTGGATGTGAAAAGTAGAGGGATGGCTGGTGACAGCTGGTGGTAGGAGGGGCTTCTTGAAACTTAACAATCGTCCTCAAACATTGTGCTAACAGGAAAGTCGAGGCAGGAAATTGTGGTTGGACACATGAGGGGGGGGTCTGCATCTGAGGGAGAGCAAACAAGTTGAAGTGCAGGAAGTTTGCATAGCCTTGAAGGCTCGAGGTTCTAAAGTTGCTTCAAGGTACCTCGTTAGCGCAGTAGGTAGCGCGTCAGTCTCATAAAGTTGCTTCAGGGTCAAAGTTTGATTAGCCTTGTTAGCAACTAAAATTGCCTTTGAGATTTCCCAAGGGGTCCCTGGAGGATCATAAAGATTTGTTCTCTCGCCTTGTAGAAGAGACTATTAGTAATAATTAGGGTTATTTGATAAATTACTACTGATGAGTTACATAGGAAGAACTGTCAAATCTGAGGAAGTGCTTAGACTTCTCTAAGTTAAATTTGTACAGGTAAAATGTTATTAACATAAATACTTAAATAATTGTATTCAGAGAATTGTCAGTGTTTTTGCTGTCCATGATGTGTTTCTATTTATCAGTCCTGGTATTGCTTATTAGATAAAAGCAGGATAGTGCTATCAGTCATAATTGCAATTATTTTTTAAAGCATTAACTTGGTTGCAACTTAACCGCTCTAATTTGAATCTAGTATATTCCAGGCCAGTGGTTTTCTGCTGGGGATTCGCATTATTTATCTATGGACTTCTATTAACCTACCAATGTTTAGAACCTACTCCAGGTTTACTGAATCTATTTACTTGATTATCTTGATTTGTTCTTATAAATGATGTCTGTTGTCTCAGGATTTTTATATGTTATATCTGAAAATTTTACTCTGTAAAGGTTGTGTCCATCCATTTTCATAGATTATATGTAATACTCACTTTTTTGAAAACAGGATTAAAGCTTTTTATTTATATGTATTTTATCTAAATTTTTTCGGATGGGCTTATTTTGTTTTTCATGCCATGTAAATAAGCAGGTATGCTTGTCAATTGCATTATCCTTATAATGAACACTGTTTAGATTATTCCCGTTAGATAAATATCAATAATAAGTGAACAATAGCTATTTTTAATCTTTTGTCATCTACAGATAGTTTTGTTTGTTTGTTTGTGTGTGCATTTTAAGTCCTGGTGTTTCCATGAAATCACTTGGAATCAGCTATAGGGCAGATTGTTCCATCATTAACAGAAAAGGACTATGCCAGGTACTTTTGGGTATAGGCTACTGATGGCATTGCTTAAATAACCATCATTACATGCGAGTGGACTGAGTCAAGAGTTCCAGACGTCTGGTATCTCGGAAGTGTTCATGGGACTACTAACCCAAGATCGGACAGAACAAGAATTAATTACATAGATTGAATGAACTGGATGAATATGGACTTTGTTTGGAATATTGCTGATCCTTTAATGTTCTATTTTCTGGTAACAAGGAACCTCTTCCACTTTTAAGCTATCACTCATAACTGTTTAGTAGACGGTGCACTTGTAAACAAAAATGAAACACTTATCTTTTGTACCCTGACTCACCCTTCCAAAATTTGGAAAATCTTATTGAGTATTCTTATTATCATGGCAGTATGGATATTTACATAGACTCAACAAGGGTCTGACCACC